AGAGGTTTTTGCTATAGGGCATGTGCGCTTGCCAGAAAGATAGAGAGACAGAAAGCGAGAGATCACCCCCCGGGGGGGATTGCAACACTGCAATCCCTTCTCCTCCATTCTCCTTTCGGGATCTTGGCACACGCACCTAGCGTGAGCTTAAACCACTGGGTCTGGGACTCGAACAATGGTCGACTACATGGGAGTCCAGTGACATAGCCATTACACTAACTGCTGGTCCCTAAAATAATTCTTTTTTAAAAAAAAAAAAAAAGGCCCTTGTCACAGGACCGAAACAAAGACAGAGCCTGGTCAGAAACCACAGATGGTCTTTTAAACCCAGATTGGCCAGCTAGGCAGGGCAAAGCTGAGCAGAGCAATCAAAACGGTCTCAAGGGAACAGAACTCAGTTGGCAAAGGAACTGCTGCCATCTACTCCCTAGAGCTTCCTCCATACTCCTCTACGTCCTGTTCTGCTAGCGGCTTCACAATGACCAAACAGTTCTGCCCAACCACATTTATTTTAAAAATGCAAAAAGTAGGAAAAAGCTGCCATCTCTACGGTGACCACTTCTATTTCCTCATTCCCACCACATTCCGCTGTGAGTAACCTTAACTAGCCCTCCAGGCCAGCAAGCCAAGGTACACAGCACTTCTGAACTCAAGGGACAGGAAGTGGTCACCAAAGATAGATGTGGTCCATTCCCCAGCTCCTGGCAGGTTTTTCGGTGCAGTCGCAATCTCCTGAACTGTTAGAACTCTCCTTATGAAAGGTATCCCACAACTTCCCTTGGCAACCAGAGAGAGCACCCATGTGTGTTTTTTTAAACAAAGAGGCTTTCATTTACTCAGAGGTCACCTCCCTCATGCTGTTCTTACCCAAAGCCTTGGAGGTGATCAAGATTTGCCCAGGAGTGAACTCACCTGTGAGTATAATGGTAAAGTCCCAGCCACAGGCCACCTGCTGGATGGGACAGCCCAGGAGGGATGTGCAGGGGATGAAAGACAGAACGTCCTCTGTGTGACCAAGTCCCAGCTGCCCGTCTTTGTTCAGGCCACAAACAAAAAGGTCTCCTCCATCTGTACAAGAGAAAGACTTCAGTGATCGCATTTCCGGGAATCATAACTGCCAAAGGGAGCAAAAGGTGTCGCTAAGTATTTGAAGTTACAGACCAGTCCACTTTCCACCCAAGTGAATAAGCCATGCACGTTCGTGCGCTCTGAAGCCAGAGGACATAGGGCCACCACCTCAAATTTAATACCCAAACGGAAACTCCAGGCCCTGCCAAACCACCAACTTGAGCATCACTGTAGTAAGAGAAGCCAACAGTTACTCCACATGGAGAGTGCGCCAGGCACTGGTCTAAGAGCTTTACATGAAGGGAGGCTGAGCCTTTAGACACAGTGTCTAGTGCCCACAATACTTCCAGTGACCCAAGAGGGCGGCTTAATTTTAAATTCTCTTAAAATGAGAAAAATAGGGCCAGCAGGTGGCATAATGGTTAAGGCACTGGCTTCCCACATGGCCGACCACGGATCAAGTCCCAGCCGTGGAGACTTGCTTTCTCACTTTCCTTCTCTCTTTCTCTCTCCCCCTCTCTGTGTCTCTTTCTGGTGAGCATGAGTGCCCTGTAGCAAATGTTAAAAATAATAATAATGATAATAAATAAAATTAAATAATTTTTAATTGAGAAAAATAATGTAATAATGCAAAAATACTACTAATTCTAGTCTCTATTATTTATCTTTATAGCGATATAATTATAAAAGATAATTTTTAATATTTCTTTATGGAGATAGGAATCCACAAAGGTAAAAGTCCCAAGGAGCCATAAAAGTTGTACTAGTCCTGTTAACTCACTGACTGTCCCCAGCAGATGAGTAATTGAGACACAGAGCTATTACTGCCCAAAGTGACACAACCAGGATTTGAACCCAGATATTTAATTCCCTATTCATGTCCTTGATGCAGTATGCCCTCCTTTTCAGTATTATAACAATTATCCTTAATTTGGGGGTAGAGGTATTTGGTTTGGTTTTAGTTTTTGGTTTTTAGGGGCATTTTTTGACTATAGAGTATGTGAGCTCACTACACCCCCAGGGGTGATGGCTATGCTGCAGTCCCTTCTCTAGTCTCCTCGCAGGACTCCGGGCATGCACATGCACACACATACACACATACACACACACACACACACACACACACTCACTGTCTCTTTCAAGCTGCCAGGTCTGGGTCTCAAACCACACAGTCAACAATGTGGGATCCAGCACCCTAACCTCCGCACCACCTGATGACCCCTATCCTTAACATTGTGTACCATCCTAGGTACTGTGAGGGAAGATTAGAAAACATAAGGTTCTTGTTCTCAAGGGATATTCAACCTAATGACAAAAACTTCTAACAAATATGTGGAAGATAAATAGCAAGATATGATACAAAACATATTTTTTCTAACTCTGCCACTCATTCGCCTTGTAACCGTAGCACTCACTGTTTCTCTCTGGGCTCACTTGAATCACTGGAGGGAGCAGTGCTAGAAGGTCTGAGAAGTTCTCCTAGCTCTGACCATCTAAAATCCTTGATCGTTGCTTCCTTCCCAAAAATGTTTTCCTCTACAAAACACAAAGGCAATATATCATTCTAGAAAAAATGTCTGAATTGGAAAACGAGTGACTTGGGACCAGTGGAGGGCGCAAGGCTTCATCACTGGATCCCACATAGCCAACCACGACTCAAGTCTCGGGCCTGATGGCTTGAAACTCACACTGGGCACATGTGTATATGTGATCAAGATCCCGGGAGGAGAGTGAAGGAGAAGGGACTGCAGTGTGGCCATCCTCGGGGCAGGGGTATTTCTTGCTTTCTGTCTCTCTGTTTCTCCGGCAAGGGTACATGCCCTATAGCAAAAAATCTCTCTAAAAAAAAAAAAAAGAAGAAGAAGAAGAAGAAGAAAAAGAAAACGAGTGGCTTATCTACTTTTGAAAGAAGTTACCTGTGACAACCATAGAGTGGCCTCCCCCTCCTGTGATCCTCCTGATACGCCCTGGTTGACAGAAGTCATGCAGTTGCTGGGGCGAAAGCACATCCTCCTTATGGCCAAGGCCAAGTTGCCCATAGCTGTTCGCACCCTAAGGATAACATAAGACCAAGATGAAAAGTGCAAGAACCACAACTGCTAACGTCTATTCAGCTAAATCCTCACCTCGACACACCTCTCAGAGCCCCTAAGAGATGGGATTTTGCAGGTTCGTCCTCAGGAGGGTGTTAAATACAACAGACCTGTCCTCAGAACACCACGTCCACAGCGTGGAGTCCTTAGTACCCACAAGTTAGCCAGTGATATCCCTCCTTCCCTTCCAGCGCTCCAGCCCCATCCACTGCCTTTGGGAGACAGCACATTTCCCTCTGACTAAAGCTGATTACCCAGACTAGGTAAGGCGAAAAAAAGTGCGGGGGAATCGGAACAAAGTGGGCAGGAAACGCTCCGGGGCTACGAGGTCGTCCGAAGTCACGACAGGTTTCTCTGCGCAAAACGCATCATGCCTTTCCCGTCAGCCACATCGTTCTTGTCCCTGTTCCCCATATCCTAGGTGAGAAAACGGGCAATGACTTCCTGTCATCTAAGTCATCTGAGGCGCGCCGTTACTTTATTTCTACTGGGAAAGAGGCTGGCAGTGACCGCTGAGGGCCTTTCCCACTGCAGTGCTTTGTGACTCGATTCACACGGTGAAACTCATAAGGGAAGCGACTCCTCCATGGCAGGCAATGTGTCTACTGCTATCCTACAGTCCAGGTCCAGGTTCCTGAGCTGAATCCCCTGCAGGCAGTTGTACTGCAAATTCCGAACGTTGTAGATTTTGGGAAAGTATCCCGTGTATCTCATACGTCCTGCTGCAAGGTCTGGGAGCAAATCACCGACGTTTCTGTAGTCGCAGGCACAGCTCCAAGTGGCAGAGACTACACGCGGCCTTATATGCTATGAGTTTGGGATTTTCAGAGTTTCTTACATTCAGAATGGAATACGAGGGCCTGTGAGCCTGCAAAAAGAACCTTATTAAGATTTCAGAAATGTCCGGGACCAGCAGTTAGCCCAATGGCTATGTCGCTGAACTCCCATGTAGTCTACTGTGGTTCGAGTCCCGGACCCAGTGGTTTGAACTCACGCCGGGCGCGTGTGCGTGCGTGCCCAAGATCCCAAGAGGAGAATGGAGGAGAAGGGATTGCAGCGTGGTCATCCCCCCAGAGGGTGATTTCTCACTTTCTGTCTTTCTGTCTCTCTGTCTCTGTCTGTCTGTCTGGTGAGTGCACACGCCCTGTAGCAAAAACCTCTCAAAAAAAAGAAAAAAAATATTTCAGAAATGCTTATGATTTCTGCAACTCACTGGTTTTTCATGAAGATGAGAAATTTTTAATGTTTGTTTTTGAAGACATGTGCATGAGGAAAGGCAGTTTAAAATAACTACCAAAAAAATGCATACATACATACAAACAAAATCCTTCCCCCAGCATCTATTTCATAGTCATCCTGGACTGCAGGGACTCTAAGAAGGACCAGCAAGTACTAGAAGAGGCACAGGTCCCAGGACCATCGGGGTAATATCGCTATTCATTGGTGAGGGCTTCTCTGTATACTGGGCACACGCCTTTAATGCTCACAGCCACCAAGGAGAAAGACATTATCACTCCCATTTTACAGGAGAGGAAACTGAGGCTCAGAGAGGCTAGGGAGCTTCCCATAGTTACCCAGCTGGGTAGGAAACAAGTCAGCTGTCCCATCATTATACCTTACTATTACCATACCTCTAAGCCAAAAGTAATAATAACAATTATTACACATATAGGGTCATTGGAAAAGTCATGATACGTTTTTGCTTAGAAAAATAGATCATCACTTTTCCAGTGACACAATATGTCCAGCCCAGAAATTCCCTGGCAGGAGGCTAATGCATGAGCCTGCTGAAGACATACTTCTTCATTTTCTCTCGTTTTCCTTATTTTTCTTCATATCGCTCCTTAACATTACAGCAAGTATTTGCTTGTCTGCTGTATGTCCCCCCCACTAGAAAGTAAACGTCATGAGGGTAAGAGCTTGGTTTTGCTCATTGCTGTTTCCCATCTGAAACTCTGCTGCCCCAGAGATGTGCACACAGCTACCTGGTGTTGAGTGTAAGACCCTCCATCTCCACCTAGAAAAGAGCAAAGAGCAACTGAAAGGCTTATGCAGAGTGGGCTGTATACACACAGGAGTTTTTGGTCAGCCCTGAGATTGCAGTTGCCCCATTCCCAAGGTTACAGGTTGCTGAACATGAAGAAAAGTGACACGCAGGAACTCTGGGGTTGAAAATATGGTACGGGAGCCAACAGGTGGCATGGTGGTTAAGTGCTCTGGGTTCCCACATGGCTGACTGCGGTTGGGTACCGGACCTGGCAGCTTGCTTTCTCACTTTCTCTCTCTCTGTCTCTCCCTGGGCAAATTTAAATAAATAAATAAATAAATAAATAAAGTTAAATAAAATAATTATTAAAAAAAAGAAAATATGATACCAATTTTTATAATGCAGCAACAGGCCCTAGATGCAGGATAAAGCAAAATGAAGGAAAATGTAATATAACCTATTACAGGAGTGTTTGCCTCCCTTCCTTACTAACATTCTAGACGCCACACACACACACACACACACACACACATACACGAGCATAACCCCAAGAAAGTAAATCTTGTTAGAAACTGAATCGTGTTCCCTA